TAAAACTGGTTTACCCTAAGTCATGCCATGACCAATGTTAAAACTGGGAAGCTGGCCAGTTTTACTTACAGTTTTAATTACTTCAATTACATTGAAGTAATTTGGGGGGGCAAGTGACATTTTTTGTCCTCAAATTTCCCTCCACATCATTTGCCTAACACTAAGGCGGTCAAAATGATAAATCCACGTTTCACTAATAAAAATTTAAAAAAACAATCGAACAAAACAAACAAACAAAAACCAAAATGATAAATCCCTGTGTTTCTGTGAAGGCTCAGAGATTTTTATTTCCTGCAGGGCTACAGCATTCCAGTTGTGTACACCTCTCTCAGAGACACTTGGCCTCATGAGAATGTGCTGCTCAGGCCTGGTAATGAGGGACCCTTAAGCATGCCCAGAGGGTGATGGGGGTGACCAGAGCCATAACTGACAGTGTTGGAGATCGAACTCAGGTCTTCGTGCACGTGAGCTATGTGCTTCAGGCTTCTGAGCTAACTCCCCAGTCCCCTGGTGTTTCTATACTGTCTTTTCCCTCTAGGAGTATTCCAAGTTGGTGGGGAGAGATTAACAAAAATAATAGACTAATGTCTCTTGTAATTCCTAATCTCATTGCCTGGTTCTTTATCCTGAGTATATTGCCAGTGTAGGGTTTTCTATCTTACACTCATAAAACTCCCTGCTGGACACCTCACATACGAGTATTCACATATTGAGCGAATTTAGTGGCAAAATGGTTTTAAAATATAACCAGTGGCAGAATTAAATACAATGTGTGTGTACAGTCCACAGATTGACATTATACCAGAAAATGGGTGCATATTGATAACTGTATGATGAGTCTTGAGAAATCAATTGGTGTTAGCCAGCAAGTTTCACTGAGCCACACTGGTTATGATTTGAGTCTGTGTGTGTGTGTGTTTGTGTGCGTGTGTATGACAAATACCCTCAATATACTAGCTCCATTAGAGAAATTAGGTAACTGTGATGCTGCTTTATAAACTGATTTATCAAGAGTCTTAACTGACTTGCAAATGCTTTCTCAAACACTGATTTGTGGAGGGACAGACACATTAGCTGCAGATTTAATGTCACCATGGTTCTAATTTGCATGGAGATGAAAAGTTAACATAATGCAGAAATGTGAAATTAAACTGGCTGACTAAAAGCAGTAGTCCTGCTAAGATCCATTTCTCTATCCTCATTATTTCACCCCTTGGTTTATTGTGTTTGCTGCTTTCTCCCATTACTCACCAAATTGTCAAATAAGTCCCTTAGGATGCACTAGCACGAGGCTTCTGGAAAACAGTGTTTGGATCGTTTACATAATGGGAAGAATGAAGTCAATGTTCTCAAGAGTAAAAACATCAATACTCTCTCACTTCGACTTTAGGAGGAGGAAGAGTTTGAATGGGAAACAGAACAAGAAAACAAACACTCAGGGAACTGACTTCTAGATTTTTCTCAGTGTAAGTGACAGTATAAGAGCAGAGAATACACGATCTGTTTGGTGACACAGAATCTCAGCAGGAACAATCTTGGGAAAAAGAAATGACACAAAAATTATTATTCTATTCAGAAAGTAAGAGGAAAGCAACGTTCTGTTCTAACGCAAAGTTAGGAAAAAAAGAGATCAAGCTACGGTGGGTAAATCACAGGAGACAAATGACTTCTTTAAGTTCTGTTTGTTCCATGAGAGACAGCTGTGGCACAATGTAATGCACATTCCATCTTTTGCTTTCAGTAGGAAGATGAGTCTGGGAAGACCTGTCATTTCGACGCTTCACCGGCCTCAGTGCCCGAATCTCAAGATGTGGCACACCACCAATATCTTTATTAATTTGATGGAGATAAATAAAAACAACTGTGCATTTATCATATCATGAGTCATTCAAAAAATAGAATAGGGGTCTGAAGGACATTTGAATCATATGTGCCAATGTACAAAATATAAGTCTGGATGAAACCATGTTGAATAATTTAAATCCCCATTAAATTCTCACTCAGCACAAATCTCTATTGTGCTCTGTGACTCTACAGAGTCTGGCCGAGCTCCTTCTCAGCTCCACATATACATTTCATAATTATGCCTCATTTAACCTCCTTTTCTTTTCAAAGATCCCTTCAAAATTGGTCAGCAGGGAAATCGAGTTTTAGAAATAGACGTTTAGCTATTAACCACGGGGTAGATTCTCATGTGTAAGAGATGGTTACTACACTGCTGTTTAAAGCCTAGTAGATTTCATCTAATTCTATAATGGTCAGATTTTACAATATTTTCCTCTATTAAATCTCTATTTTCAGAAAATACGCAAACCTCTTTATATAAAAACGAAGTAAAAGTCTGGAAAAAACCCTAGGGAATGAATTATAGGGAAAAGACTGTCATTTACTTTTGAAAAAATATTAAGTAAACCAAAGCAAACAAAAATCACATAACAATAGAAAGTCTAATACAATTTTATTGAGAATCAGTAAACCAATTCCTTACAGAACACTGAAAAACCCTATGACTCCAACCCTTCTCAATAAATGGCAATAAAACACTGGGGTACGTTCCCTGAATATGTCAGATACTTGTTTACTACCTACAGGAGAGAAAAGTTCTTTGATAGCTTAAAGTACAGCATGGAATGCTCTGACCAATAAAGGGAAGTAGAAATGTACTTCAAATTCACTATGAGTTTTAAAAACCTACAGATGAGTTCTAGCATCAAAGGTGCGAATGAATAGATGTGCACCCTGATATTTTGTATTTCAAAAGGAGATAGTAGATGGCCAGACAGCCTAAGACCAGGCCCAAATTAACCTGGGGAATTATCTTTTATTTAGGAAAGTCGTAATAAGCAGAAAAAATGGCATGGGATGTATTTACCTAAACTTATCTAAAGGCGTTTGATGTGAAATGACTTTAAGCTGACACCAAAGATAAAAGAGAGCAAATGACTGCAAGGATTAAAGACTGCTAACTCAGATGCGACCAAGGCTCAGTGGCATTGACGAAAATGGTCATGATGTTCACTTTTATAGGATGACATGTTTACAGCAATTTCCCATCACTCAGGAATGGAAGCACATGACAGGATAAATGAACACCAAGAGACAAACTTCTAAGGTTTTACTCATGAACTAGTGTGTATAGAGATGAGATGTTATTCATTTTCCTGGGAAGTTACTACTTTTTCAAGCTAAAATTAAAAGTTCTGAGGCAAAAATGATATATCAGAAGCAGAATTAAAATGCTATTTCTTCCTTTTTAAAATGAAGAAAGTTAGTGGGAAAGTTGTTTTGTTTCTACCATTGCGTTATTAGGGTATTGGTTTTAGTTTTACAGTTTTTGTCTCTTTAAAACCTCATCAAATTTTCTTAGATTTTAAGCATTAAAATAAACAATGGCACAAATATGTAATCCTGTCAGTTATGGTCTTGAAAGCTAAATAAAAAGATAAAATTTGAATAGCATTCACATTGATGAATTTGTTGACTGATGATAACAGCTGACCTGCAATCCAAATATCAACAGCAAACTTATTTACCGTATTCTTACACTGAATTCTCTGGGGGCTCCATTGATCTTTGGTGAGGTCTCTGGTTAACAGAAAGTCTATTCTTCTCTTTTCCCCTGGTTTAGTAACTATAGTGGTTAAAAATGCAGGTAGAGTATATTAAGACATTATTGACTACACCAGATGAACTTTATTGTTTCAAATTGGAAACCCAGCTGAAGACAAATTAGCTGGACCATCCATGCTGACAGCACTGATCTGAAACATTCTCAAGAAAGGCACAGCTTGCACGCAACTTTCCAGAAGCATGTTTGAAATCAGAGAGGCACAAGGTTGTTCTGAATAGCACAAGTCACAATTGAGTAAGTTGATATTGGAAATTGAGTAGAGGGTGATATTTTTTTAAAGCCCATAGCCAATAGCCCCGAAAGGGAATATAATTTCTAATATCAGTAGCTATTTTGGTGCTAAGTAGAAAATAATGGGTTCATGATACTCCCTCCCTCCAGGAACCAGCACATAAAGGGGACTTTTGACTGTATGATGTGGAGGTCCATGAAAGAGGCACTTTATGGAACTTCCCCTTTTCAAACAGAAGTTCTGTCCTGTTTTATGAAAAGATCAAAGTCCTTCACTGATCAATCAAATAGGATTGATAGGGAGTTAGAGGTCTTATGGCATGTAACAGTCATCACCAAAGCACTGTCATTGCCAAGAAAACAAATCAAAAGTTGATGTTTAGATCAAAGCAGGTTAAGTCAAAAAGGGTGGACTTAAATCCAAGGTTAGTACATTACAAACATAAAACTTTTTTCCCCCTGATCTCACACTACAATCCAAAGAACAAACAAATGAAAATAAATAGTTCCAAAGTACACTATCTTATTTTAGGGAAAATAATAGCTATTGATTTATCTTAAAAATGATAATCAGAATTTTTACAACCATCATATTTTAGGAGTCTGTGGTAAAATGTTTGTCTATATAGGCTGGGTGCTTTAGTAACAAAAATAAGGAAGTCTGAAAGTATGTATTATCTTTCATTTGAATAAGCACGGTGGGTTTGAAGAATAACGTGTAAATCCCTAACCTTTGCACCTCTTGCAATTTATCTTCTGGAAGGGTGCAGAGTTATGCTTTTGTTCCTCTTTCCATAATCAAGCCACAAATTGGAAGAAAAATACTAAAGATAAGACAAAAAGAGCAATACCTAATAAGAGTCATGTATTAACTTTACACTTTGTTTCTTATATGCACTTTGAGATCATTAACGATTACAATTATAAGCTTATATAAGATTTTTTCCAAGGTATTCCAAGAATGCCTATACCTATATTACCTCCAAATTCTGTACATGCACTCATCCCTTTTGCAAGAAGAAACTGAAATCAAAATGAAAAGTTTTCCTTGAATATTTTCGAACAGATGCGAATGATAAAGAAAAGCATCTGAGCGAAAGGCGAGTATGAAAATAAAAACAAAAACCCATCAATCATGTCATGTACATAGTTTCTATGTTTTCTTGAAAAGCAATGAGAGCCATAGCCCGCGGCTGACAGAAGAAAGGGTCATGCAGTGAGTTACAGGTGGGCAGTGGGCTTTCCCTCTAAAGCTCAAATGCAGGGAACTTGGCTTTCGTGGGCACAAGGAGGTCAGCCAGGAAGTAGATGGTTCCAGCCATTCCTGGAGGAAGAGAATAAGGCAAACATTATAAAACCAAAAGACTTTGATAGAGTGGTTTCCTACTGTAACAGCAACATTATGATAAGAACAACAAAGATTTAAATGAAATCAGCTATGTCTATGTTTCTTGATGTTGAAGGTTGACCTAAGAGGAGATCACTTAACTAGCAAGGAGTTCAGCCTTACTGTCCAGGCTGAAGACAGGATAGCGTGAGAGCAGGCAAGTTCAAGGATCAGCCATTTAACATCTGTGAACTCCTTCCCCATGGTAGCATAGGGCACTTACCCATCTGAGTTTCAGTCTCATGTTGGATACAGGTACAGACATATCCGTATATACACACATATATGTATATTTGTACCCCTATGTACATAGCGACAGTATTCATGATATCTAAAATCTGGAAAAACAGCTTAAGTTTCTAAGAACAGATGACTAAATAGACTGTGGTACATATACACATGGAATAGGTGTGTATATGTATATGTATATACATATACACAAACATATGCATATAAACATATACATTATGTGTACATATGTGAATATGTATAGATATATATATATATAATTATGCAATGTGGTTTACAAAACTGTTATGATAAGGTTTCAACATAAAATTCCAGCACCATGCACTCCCCCAGAGTGTCCGTTCCACTCTACCATCGTCCCAGAATCGCCGCCCATCCTCCCACCTTCCTGTTCTCCTCTACGTTGAGAAATTAGAGACAGTTCTCAGTTTCTGCTGGCTTTGTGCATCTATTCCCTCTACTCGTGTTTCTGTATAACCAGCACGAGAGATCATTCTGTGTCAGTTCCTCTCCTAACTTCTTGGCAATGAATTGCATGATTTCATCTTTTCTTGTAGCTGATTCGTATTCCATGTGTATATATACCATAGTTCATTTAATCGTCTATTCTTGGACACTTAAGCTGTTACCAGATTTTGGCTATTGTTAATAGTGCTGCTATGCATACAGCAATGTCTTTTCTGGGTAGAGTTTTTGAGTCTTTGGGTGAGTGTAAAGAAGTGGAATTGCTGTGTCATATGGGAGTTCAATTCTTAGTTTTTTGAGAAGTGTCACATTGTTTACTATAAAGTCTGGACTAGTTGACTACAGCAGTGAATGAGGATGACTTTTTCCTCACATCTACAAAAAAACTGATAGTTTTTATTCTTTTTGATGTGTGAATACGTATTTTTTGCTGAGATCATTAATGACATTATCTGCAAAATGTCCAACATTTGATGGTCTCAGTAAAGGTCATTAGCGTGAGCACTTATTAGGTACTCATAGAACAGATAGTAGCACAGATAGCACAGTGGGTACGGTGTTTGCTTTGCACACGGCCGACCCGGGTTTGATTCCTTCGTCCCTCTCAGAGAGACCGGCAAGCCATGAAGAGTATCCCGCCCGCACAGGAGAGCCTGGCAAGCTCCCTGTGGCAGATTCTATATGCCAAAAACAGTAACAAAAAGCCTCACAATGGAGACATTACTGGTGCTTACTTGAGCAAATCGAGGAACAAAGGGAGGACAGTGCTACAGTGCTACTTACTAGGTTTATGGTAGTCCATGTGCTAATTGTTTTTTTTAATACTAACCAAAGTCAAAGGCATTAATTACCAAGCAGAAAAGCAGATAATGCTATGACAAAAAAAAAGTGTGAAAAAATTACCTTCAAAAAGAGAGAAGGGGGTGTCTGGCGTTCTGCATCCATGTTCTCCATAATCTAAGCACCATTCAGCAAACTGAAAATAAAAAAAGACCAAGTCATGTTATTGTGATGATTTCTTCCAAGTAGCTACAAAATATATAGAAATTGTCCCAAAGAATTACTTTGTAAAGGGTCTGGAGTGATCATACAATGGGTAAGGCGCTTGCCTTGCATGTGGCTGATGTGGGTTCATTCCCAAGCACCCCATGTGCCAGCCAAAAGTGATCCAGGTGACCCCTGAGTACAGGACCAGGAGCAAGTCATGAGTACTACCTGATATGCACCCCTTCTCCCCCGCCAAGAATTACTCTAAAAAGCCAAATCTACCTTCTAGACAGAGAAAAGGATGATCAGAAAGAAACATGAGTAGGAAGGGGATGGGTATTTAATGAGTTTTCTAAGTCACAATTATCAATTCAAAAAGAAGAAATGTACATCTCCCTTCCCTGATCCACCACCCACAGATGCTCTTGAAGACAATGAATTACTTTGAAAAGCAAGTGAATTCAGTGGCGTGGCTTTGGCAAGTTTTTCTTAATTAACTGTGCCTGTTCTAAAGACACACAGTTGAGACTACATAGATTCAATCAAGTTAACTAGAGGTTTTTCGGTAACCTTCTGTGAGTGCTTCCCTTTCGTCAGTCTGACTCCTACCTTACAGGCCCTGTACAGATATTTGACATCCTGTGTGAAGTTGTACAGTGCAAGGAAGGCGTAGGCATTCCCAGCCGCACCGTGGCACAGCCCGTACCCTTTCTTCAGCAGCCCATACTGCCAGGTCACGTCTGCACACTTACAGGCATCCTCGAGGTACCGTTCCTCTTTGAACACCTGCAGACTCAAAGCACACAGGTATCAAAAGTTATCAAAGTAACTTTTCCCGGGACTTCTTCTGGTAAGGAGGAGAGGGGAGAGGGAAAGTAGTTTGGCAAGAGGGGGGAGAGAGGGGGGAGAGAGGGGGGAGAGAGGGGGGAGAGAGGGAGGGAGGGAGGGAGGGAGGGAGAGAGAGAGAGAGAATCCAAACTGGGCAAATTACAAAAATTCACTAGCTCTGCCTTTTCTGTGTAAGAACTGAATCCAGACCAGGTTTGTCCTTGTCTCTGCCTTGACACTGTGTGTGTTGGGACTGTGAATATTACTGACAAAATAGCATTATTTTCCTTCCAACTTGCTGTTATCAATACTGATTTTCCAAAGAAAACATGCTGCCTTCTAGGCAACAATGATGCCCTTTACTATGAGGAAGTTTCTATAAGTGCTGTAAAAGAATTTGTTTTAAATATACAAACTCAACTGTGAAATAACACTTTGTCATAAAAAATAGAAATAAATCTGTACAACGTTTTATAACCTCTTGTATCTTGATAAGACTTGAGAAATAGTGTTCAAGTGAGTAGATGCTTCTAATTTCTCAGCGCAAACTAAGAATTCTTCACAGTAGAATAAGGCAGTTTTGAAATGTAAATTCTGATATACTAAAAGCATAAGGACTGTGATGATTTATAGTGCTTGCTTATAGTCAATTCACTTTTAACATGTAGATCTGGCACCAACGACAGAGACATTTTGATTTACATTGATCTTTGTCCCTTAAAGAGCCTTTTCCCCTGTGTTGTTGTTGTTTTTTTCAGAAGAGACATTGACACTTTTTAAAAAAAAATTATTTATTTATTTATTTATTTTGCTTTTTGGGTCACACCCAGCAATGCTCAGGGGTTACTCCTGGCTTTGCACTCAGGAATTACTCCTGGCGGTGCTTGGGGGACCATATGGGATGCCGGAGATCGAACCTGGGTTGGCCACGTGCAGGGCAAATGGCCTACCCACTGTGCTATTGCTCCGGCCCCGAAACCTTTTTTTTAATAAACGAAGATATCCACATTATAAATGATCAGTTTAAGTGTGCAATCCAGTGCATTATTTATACTCACAAGGCTATATAGCCATTTAAAAAAAATCTATTTAGCCAACATTTGCCTGCTTCCAACCCCCAAACTCTGTATCCTTAGTAATTCCTAACTCACAACTGCCCCCACGCCATTCCAGACTGTGATAACTTCTACTCTGTTTCCATGAAGTTGCCTAATGTAGGTATTGTCACATAAGAGGCAACGTAAGTACTTGTTTGTTTTTCCTTTTGCAATTTGCCTATTTTGCTAGGCAGAATGTTTTCAGGGTTCATGAATATTGTAGCATGTCAGAAGTTCGTTTCCCTTATGGCAGAATATTCTCCCATCCCATAAAGATATCACTTTTGCTATCCTATTAGCCTCTAACAGACATTTGGATTCCTTCTGTCTTTTGGTTATTGTAAATAATGTTGCTGTGGAACTCTGATAGGTAAGACTCTGCTTGAATCGTTTTCAAATTCTTTTGGGTAGATACCAAGACATGGAATTGCTGGGTCACATATTAATTCTAAGCTTAACTTTTCAAGGAATGGCCCCTGTTCCGTGTGGCAGCTATACCATTCCCAGTCCCTCCAGCAATGCCTGAGGGGTAAAAAGTATTTTTTTTATTTATTGAACTTGGTATGTAGCTTCTACATGGTGCTCAAGGGGCTGAAATGATACTTAGCCAAGCCAGCATTTCAGTACTAGCGCATCATGGGAACACCACGGCCACACACACACACACACACACACACACAGTGCTCGGAGGCTTCAACAGCCACACCCTGTGATGCCTGAGGGCTTAAGGCCTCCACCTGGGGTTCAAATTCATTTTAACTGGGTGCCTGGCATGTGCTCTAACCACTCTGCTATCTCTGCCCCCCATTCTATTTTCAATTGAATTTCTGATATAGTTGCTTTGGATCTGTCACTGAGGCTTATCTATAACCTTGGTTATTCACGTTATATGTGAAGCAACCTCATATTCTCTGAAACAACGTTTATGAAGAATAGTCTGAAAATGGAATATAATCCACTAAATAGAGTGAGCTATCTATTCTCCCTGTAAGGAGTATGTATAAAACTAATTTTAAATCAGACAATTTCATACTTTCCAACGTATTTCTCAAATGAGAAAATTCACAGTACCTTATATGCCTGGATGAGCATGTAGATTACCCCCGGACAGCCATGGCACCAGTGAACCAGCAGATCTTGAGTATCACCCACACATGGAGGGTAATTGCCAGACGGGAATTTCAGCTGGCAGACATAGTCTACACTGGGTTTGACCAAAGTATATAATTTCCCATGGCTCACGCGGAGGCTGGGCTAAAAATGAGAAATACAACGATTAGCTGTGCTAAACACACACAGGCATGAATGTTAAACCAGTAAGAAAATAGAACCAAGAGGAAATGGAAGTCCTAAGAGGCTTTGGATTATACCCACTTGTTTTCTCACTTAGTGGAACTAAAACTTAGGCTACAAGGTAACTATTGGGGCTTTATGTCTCTATAATTTCAAAGTATTTATTGCTACCAACATGCCTCTGATCTTCTTAAGTTAATGCTTGAGAGAATGTGAGTCTAAGAATTTCCTAAGGTCTCAGTACTTTCAGCGTACTTGAAAGGCTAGAAAAATGTGTATGAGACAATCAGCACAATTTGCATGAAAACATGGAGCAGACGGTAGGAGTTTCCAGCTGAAGAGACAGCTCACAGGAGAACTTGATTGTTCTGATACAACAGGACACAATTATAGACACATTGACTAGAGGGCATGTAACAGCCTCCATTTTTCATAGAACATTTTAGTTGCTCAGTTTGTGATCTATTCTTAATTGCATGCAGTGCTCATTTCTTTCAGTATCAAATTCAAAGTGCTGTTGTGCTGGCACTGGGAGGCGTGTTGGGGTTGGGGTGTGCAGTGCAAGGGGGGACTGGCCAGGCAGGATACTGACCTGACAGCAGGGAGTTTGGAAACAGGAAATACTCAGAAAGCTCTCAGAGATCATGAAACGACAACTAAGTTTTCTATGGGGCATATAGAAGCCACATTACTTCTATATAGAATTATTCTGTATAGAATTACTTCAATGTCCTGTCCTGTTGTCCCATTGTTCATCAATTCGCTTGAGCAGGCACCAGTAATGTCTCCACGGTGAGACATCTTGTTACTGTTTTTGGCACATTGAATATGCCATGGGGAGCTTGCCAGGCTCTTCCTGCAGGTGAGATACTCTCGGTAGCTTGCTGGGCTCTCCGAGAGGGACGGAGGAATCGAACCCGGGTTGGCCGCGTGCAAGGCAACCACCCTACCCGCTGTGCTATCGCTCCAGTCTGAATTACTTCTATATAGAATAGTGAGTAATATAGAATGAAGTAATATCACATTCTATATTACTTATTCTATAGTATTCTTTAGAGTACTGAGTAAACTCAGTGTAAAATCAGAGGGTCGAATGCGTGGGTTCTATACAAGCCTGCAGAAATATTACAATGCAGCCTACACAGCCTACAATGTAGAATGGTTCATTTTAGATAGCCACATAGGCACTTAAAAGAGAACAGGTTTTTGGGTAAAGAAGTAAATTATTTAATATTGATAGTAAGCTGCCAAGAGAAAATGGAATAGTTGATTTTATGGAATTTTAATAGTCACTGAAATGGAGGCCGAGGGGAGATGCCTGATGCTCATCGACTTCAGGAAAAGGTCAAGCGGCCTCCAGTTGCTGAGATGTCAGCTCCAACTCACCCTGGCACTTCAGAAAACATGAGCCTCCTTTACTGCATGCTTAAGGATCTATATTTACTTCTGGATATAGAGAGCCAATAAGGAACTGTGCCAGAAAAAAAAATCAAGAAATCTAATCTAAATTTTCAAACCCTAATGATAAAATTCTTAATTGAGAAGTGAAGAATAAATAGAAGTTAGTCTCTTACTGCCAGGCGCACTCAAAATGTGACTTTGCATTCGAATGCAGTAATAACCTTGGTTCTTCCAGCTTCCTCGTCATTGTTTAGTTATAGGACGGCGGCAGCTCTGGCACTGGTTTTGCATTATAGCCACCTATTCAGCCAGCTAGCAGGATGTATAGCCAAACCCTCATTTTGAACATATTAAGGCAACATTTTTCTCCATGCCACTCTGCACATTGGGAAGGCAAAGGAAATACTTCTGCTGGCATTAAAAAATATATTTCCTTCGACCACAAATTCTTATTCTTATCTGAAAGTGCCACCCCTCTGCCCCCCGCCCCCCCCCCCCCCCCAGAAATGATGCTCTCATGAGTTTTCCTGATCTCCCCTCCTCGCTGCTTGCAGTAAATTCTATTTGTCCTTCATCTATTCTACTTTGGCTAATGTCTCCCAATACTATTAGATCCTAAGAACTATCAGGGCGTAGCATATTCAGCATTTTTTTTTTCAGGTAAATTACACAAAATCCATTGAAAAGGACTCAGCTCTGCTCTCTAAGAGAGCTGGAGGCAACCTATGCTCATTTGTTTTCTATTGATTTTGGAATTACTCCTGGAATTTGTTTCATTGGGTTGCACTTTACAATGAATAATATTCTTAATTCAATGTATCTGCTGGGAGAGGAGAGAAAAACAGAAGGCCCTTTATACATAAGTACAGGTCAAAACACTTTAGTCCATTCAAGTGGCTACTATGCAGGCAGGTAAGGTTACTGAAAAATCAAATATCATATCAAAGCACAGAGACATTTTCTGTTCATATACTTAAGAATGCACATTGGTGGCAAATATTATCCTTGACTGTTTAGGCCAGTTGTGATACTAAGAGTGATACAGTGGTCTGACAAAATGAAAGAAAGGAGAAGAGTTGGAGTGTCTGAGAGAGTACAGGCAGAATGCATGTTCCATACTCCTACAGCCATCACCTCTTACCTGCATCAGGAAATAATAAATTCCCGACAGGCCGTGAGCAGCCCCCACATAATATTCTCGATACCATTCATACATCAGTGGAGTCTTTGATGCAAAGCCTTTTTTTTTAGACAGAGTTTCTCCAGAGGTTAAGACTGCTTCAGAAATCTACAGAACGAAAAGCAACCAAAAATAGCAAGAGAATTTGAATAGGATAAGAAACGTTCTGCAAAGTGATACCAGAGAAGAGGGCGCATTAGATACAAGGTCTAGGAAAGAGTTCAGCTTGTTATATAAAGGGGCCACCTATTTCCACCAAATTCTGCACTCAGTGAAGTAGATGTGAAGATATTTTGTTTTAAAAAGGAAATCATGGAAGGTCTTACAACTATTTTCTCTAGGTTTTACAGGAATCAACCTGTGAAAGGAAAGCCTCTGATCCTCAGGGCCCCGAGGAGAAGCCTGCCCCAGGGAGATGGAAGCTGGTACCTAGCATCTGAAAATGCCCGTACAGCCTCACCAGGCTGCACTTCTTACTGAGTCTCCACAATGTTCTCCAACATTTCTGGAGTGTGCAAATGCTGATTCTTTGATCGTGCTTGACCTTCAGAGGTCAAAATATATCTTTGCTCTACTCGGGATATGCTAACTGAAGAATAAAACTTTAAAAGGATAGTTTGTGGGATCCTTAGAAGATGAAACATGGTACCTGCTGAATATGGCTTTGAGGAATCTTTTCCTCACCAAAGTTCTTATTCACAAAGAGAAGAGCATAGATGTAGCCCATTCGTCCATAAAGCATTTCATTTGGAGCATGGGGATCAATCTTACTTAGGTGCATTAGCCTGGGAATAAAAATACATGTCTAGAGTTAATTTGAAAGGAACTGGGTAGTGGCATATATTAAAGAAATGCTACATTAAAAAACACAAGCACTCAAGCACTTTATATAAATATATAACACTTTTATTTTGTATTATTATGTTAAATTTATCTTGGTATAATATAAATATTTGGATATGGTTTGATTTCTCTTTGTAATTCTATATTTGATATTAAGTGTGCTAACCACAGCACAAGGGTAGTGAAGTGCCAACAGACTCCAGGTGGCCTGACCATATATCCCACTTGGTATCCCCCTCAGCTGAACTCAATAGAGCTCAAAGTCTGGAAGAGGGCAGCAAGGGGCTGAGAGAGACAGCTCCCTATGAATCATGTCACATCTGTCTTAAGAATGACCCACGGAACTCCTAACATCAGAGAAACATCTCATTCATCTTGCACGGCTCCCTCTGCGTAGGCCACACACAATCTCAAGGACACAGCATGAGCCCCCAGATGGCCACTCTTTGCGGGACAGACCGTTCCTCGCGGTCACTGGAGCTGTGATACTCCATGGCTCCGCTACTCTGGCAGGGATAGTCACAGGAGGCCCCTGACCAGGTGAGAAATCAGGATTTCTTTCTAGAAACCCCCAAAGCAACTGTCCTGGGGAACCGCCACCACCACAAGGTGGGTGCAGTTCACAGACGAAGGGAGCTGAGCTTAGAAAAGCTACCCCAGACCAGGGGCAATAGCTCAAAGGGTTCAAGCTAAGCCTCGGGTTTGATCCCTACCACTTCATGACTGCCCTCCACCCCCAGCCCTGCTCCCACCCTCCCAAGCACTACTGACAGTTGTGGACCTGGTGGTCCACCAGCACACTGGGCCCAAGCAGCAAGCGCCTCCCCCCTCCCCCACTCGCCCCAAGGGAAAAGCTATCTATCATGGATGGCTCCGGCCTGAATTCTGCCAATATGTTTTTGCTCTCCTGGAATCATCTCAATTGTTCCTAAGTGATCCTGCAAATTCAACACGGTGTAAATTAAACTACTAGAATGATATAATAATTGTTAGAAAATTTATCAAATAACAAAATTATATCCTGAAAAGCATGAGAGAAGAGCTATGCTATTTTGGGGAAAAACGACTTTCTGGGAAAACAGTATGAGAAGACACTACTGTTAATTAAAAGTAAAGGCCCTCCCGTTGATCATCGATTTGCTCGAGTGGGCCCAGTAATGTCTCCATTGGAGACTTTGTTGTTACTGTGTCTGGCATATCGAATACTCTCGGTAGCTTGCCGGGCTCTCCGAGAGGGGTGGAGGAATCGAATTCGGGTCGGCCATGTTGGCCGCATGCAAGGCAGATGCCCTACCTGCTGTGCTATCGCTCCAGCCCTACTGTTAATTAAATTTTTAAAATTTCAGGCGCTGTGCTATTGCTAATGATAGTGTTTTATGCACAGGACATTCCAACCCCACATGTCTCCACCAAAATATCTGCCACCCTCCAGCATCGAGAGAGGCTATAACCCTAACATAATGGCTTTGTCATCAGGTAGCTTGTTTAAAAAATTTCTCACCTAAAATATGAAAATAAAAAAAAATTAAGGTGGAGTTCATGCCCAGTTCAATCAGCTAATCAGTGGCTGAATAAATAGCTGTACTCCTACAAAAAAAAAAGTCTCACCTATAAAATAAGTGATCCCTTCTGATTTAGAAATTTCCTTAAGTTGTCTGTATGAAAATGTATTTTTAAAGTGGTTAAATAGAAACAAAGCTTGTACATGTAATGGTTAAGAAGCATTTTTAGTATCAAAAACACACTTGTATTGTGATTGGTTATATCTGAAGCACTCTAACCAGAAATCAAGGTTTAGAGGTACTTGTCACTTCAAATAAACATCAAAGCGACACCAGAAGACTTGCTAATCAATGTAGGAAGAAATGCTACAGTGATGAAATAAAGACCTAGAGAGTTACGAGAGTTCTTTAGGGAACTTACCCTATAGCTTAAAAGAGTGTTTTGGAAAAGCATGACTATTTGCTGTTACTAACAAAGCTAACATGTTTTTTTTCTTGCTATACCTTAACAAATGGAGGCACCTCAATCAAATTGGTTAAATATGCAAAGACTGGCCCATACTTTTTCTTTCTTCTACAAACATAGGCATTAAATTTACAAGGCACAGTGGTTATCAGAGGAAGAGACACAGCAGTCAGAGGATGCTGTTAATTTTCTTGTTGTACCTTGCAATGTCAACAGGGTTATCTGAGTGATAGAATTATAGTCCCCTCTTTTCCGACATCAATACTGCATTATTTGTGTGCCTACACATTCACAGACATATGCATTCATGTGTCCTAATAGTTTATAAGACATTAAAACATTTAATAAGAAAACTCCAATTGTTTTCTCATGCTAAAACTGGAAGCTCAATATTGAAACCTTAATAACAATAAATTTAGCAAACATGATCTCAAATGTTGCAGTAAAGAGAATAAACGCCTCAATTTTGGTAAGAATGTATTATCATTTAAAATAAATGAAAAATAAAATAAAATAAATGAATAAACTGGGTATCACTTAAGCATAAAAAAGCACTTTTTATTTAAAACTTTTATAAAGGAGACTGAAAGAACCAGACAAAAAGGGAAATTACTGTGACTTTTTAAACACTAATCAAAGTTACTTAGAAAACTTATTGCATTAACTCCAATAATGGAGTTAACACACAATACTTTATTCTTTATTTGCCAACATTATCGCCTGCATGACCACTAGGTGGCAATATGTTATCACTATTCCAATGCAGTCAAATTATTTGCATTTGCAAAGTTGAAAGTAGGTAGCAATGCCTTTCAAATACTGGAAAACAAGGTATTTCTCAGAGCATCTGGTTAAAATGCTATTTTACAGTTTAGGATAAGTAAAAGAGCAACTCCCCCCCCCCCGCCCCCTTTTCTTTTTGTGAAGCTTTTGAAACTCTTTGCTTTGGTCTGTAGCACTGTAGCACTGTCCTCCCATTATTCATCGATTTGCTTGAGTGGGCCTAGTAAGGTCTCCATTGTGAGATTTGTTGTTACTGTGTTTGGCATATCGAATACATCACGGGTAGCTTGCCAGGCTTTGCCCTGTGGGCGAGAAAACTCTCAGTAGCTTGCTGGGCTCTGTGAGAGGGGCAGAGGAATCGAATCTGGATGGGCCAGGCCGGCTGCGTGCAAGGCAAACACCGTACGGCTGTGCTATCACTCCAGCTATAATGATTACTAAAGATAGGTCTTATAAATGCCTATTTTGCTAGCTACATTCTCAAGATAAGGAAATGACAGCATTTATAGATCAAAATGTTTTCAAAAAGTCCCAATCCTGAAGCTCACTGCAGCAACTTCATTTGTGTTGATAGGTTGATATAAATACTAATAGCAATCTTTAGAAAAACCAAGTCACTGAAATATTACTGAAGGAAGAATAAAAACAGGAAAATTCTGTTCCACTGACAGTGATATTTCTCCAGTGTGTTGCTTGGGTGCTTCGTTAACATTGAAAGATTTGCAACTAGTTAGGAAGTATTCATTTTTTCACCCATTGCCCTACAAAGCACGATCACGATCATCCTGTTGTTCGTTGATTGCCTCGAGCAGGCACCAGTAACGTCTCCTTCATCCTACCCCTGAGATTCTAAAAAGTGCCACTTTCAAGGCTCTTTCAGGGTTAAGAGAATGAGACCCTTCACTGTTACTGGTATTGGGCATATTGGGTATGCCACGGGGAGTTTGCCAGACTCTGCCGTGTGGGCAGGTTACATTTGGTAGCCTAGCAGACAGGGTACACACTTTCGGAATAGCAAGTCAAAATTCATTTGAAATACTGGCACACAACACCATATGTGTTAGGCTAGTCACTTAACTGGGCATGAAACTGGCAATGCTATTTGTATAGTGACACCAACTGTTTCTATGTATAAGGAAGGGTGATATCGAGATGGCATAAATCAGAGTAGACAGATACTGTGCTATTTACTCCTCTATTTACTCCCCTTCCTCACCCATTTTGAACTGGAACACACACACACACACACACACACACACACACACACACACCCCTCTCCTTTATTCTCCCCCCTCCCCGCCCTTCTTTGGAGAAACATAGGTGTCTTTGTCTAAGAATCAAACATTTGAAGATCCCACAGGAATATTTTTCTTTCTAAAACTCAAAACTGTAATTTTGGAAGACCATTGCATCAAGAAAACATTGGAAAAGTAAGCTGGCATGTTATGTTGGCAGTGCATACAACAAACAGAAGATCTGAATCTGTCATATCCTTCTAAGGAAGATAGGAGGAAAAGATCCCTAAAAAAATGAAACACACAAGTGGATTTATCCAATAACTTATCAAATAATTTCAACTTTCCTGACATTGAAATGACACAAACTTTTCCCTTAAAATAGATGGGAAAATAATTTACTTTCTGTTCTTCCATGAATTTCAGAAATCTGAAAAAAAAAATCACTGCTGCAGCTACAGTATATTTTCCCATCATATGCTCACTTATGGGCTGGAGTGATAGCACAGTGGTAGGGTGTTTGCCTTGCACACAGCCAACATGGCCGACCCGAGTTCGATTCCTCCGCCCCTCTCAGAGAGCCCGGCAAGCTACCGAGAGTATCTCGTCCGCACGCCAGAGCCTGGCAAGCTCCCCATGACGTATTCGATATGCCAAACACAGTAACAACAAGTCTTATGATGGAGACGTTACTGAGCCCGCTCGAGCAAATCGATGAACAACGGGAGGACTGTGATCCGTGATGCTCACTTATTTGTTTGGGGGCTATAGTCAGCTGTGCTCAGGGTTTACTTCTGACTGCACTCAGGAATCACTCCTGGCAGTGCTCCTCAAATGGAGTGTTGGGGATCAAACCCAGATGGGCTGTGTGCAGGACAAGTGCCTTACAAACCCTCTACGTATCCCTCAGGTCTCACATTCTGTATTTTGAATCCTAACAAGTCTAATGGCTCTAAGTATTATTTACAAAGCATACAAATGGTTAAACGGGATATAAAATATAAATGACAAAACAGCATCAAAAAAGAGAGAAGTTTTAGTTTATCTGAATTTTTGTTTTGTTTTTTTGGGGCCACATCCACCAGTGCTCAGAGTTTACTCCTGGCTCTGCATTCAGGAATCACTCCTGGCGGCGTGGGGTATGGGCTGCCGGGGATTGAACCTGAGTCGACGGTGTGCAAGGGACACCCCGTAACTGCTGTCCTAGCCCTCTAGCCCCTACTCTTAGAGCATTTTAAAATTAACCAATATGCCATTACTTCCCCAAAAGTATTTCTTAAAGCTGGAGCGATAGCACAGCGGGTAGGGCGTTTGCCTTGCACGCGGCCAACATGGCCGACCCGAGTTCGATTCCTCTGCCCCTCTTGGAGAGCCTGGCAAGCTACCGAGAGTATTCGATATGCCAGACACAGTAACAACAAAGTCTCCAATGGAGACGTTACTGGGCCCGCTCGAGCAAATCGACGATCAACGGGAGGGCCTTTACCTTTTTACCTTTACCCCAAAAGTATTTCTTAAAGCAAAATGTCCTAAGATATCATGAGGGAAAGGAGTTGTGTCTACGCAGAGAGCTTGGCAGAACCTGCTCCCGAGACACACTGGAATTCCCTGAATGTGTATAAGCCATTCAAGACTCCGTTAAAGGGTCAATAAAGGGTCAAATTTAACTTTTTGATTAGTATTTCCCTAATCTGTAAAAATACGTCTTATTTTCGCTTACCACCTATGAATAGCAAACTATTACTATTTTGCTCTACATATTTTGAGAAAGGCTGGCATTCTGTGGGGGTTGGGGGGGATGCAGGATGCCTCTAAAATGTGCTTGGGAGGCCCAGGGTCCCTCAATCCTCGCAACCAGGACACAGGTTCAATGTGAGGGTCTGGGGCTTCAGGACGGGCCTGGAGGGGCTAACCTGGGCCACTCTGGCGGTGATTGGGGTGGAGGTGGGCTGGAGCCCCAGAGCCACACCTAGTGATGCTGGAGGGGCAACGTGGTACCAAGGACTCAGCCAGGGTCAGCTGTAGACAGGCATGTGCCTTAATTCCTGAGAAAAGGTGGCAATCAAAAAAAAAGAAATTCTGCCTTTCAAATTTAGTTGAGTCGGGAGAGGTTTCTGCAACAGCTTGTTTAATACAAGTTAACTATTATGGAACAAAAACTACGCTAACTAGTTTTTTGGTTGGGGGAGAGAAGGGGGGAAAATCACTGCTTATTTTACTGACCATGTTGATCAAGCTTGGTGACAATATTTGTATTAAATACTTTCCAACCTTGAATGGATATCATAGTTTTTTTTCCCCTTTAAATATAGTAGTAATATGTTTTCTTTTCCTTCCTTCCTTCCTTCCTTCCTTCCTTCCTTCCTTCCTTCCTTCCTTCCTTCCTTCCCTCCCTTCCTCCTTCCCTCCTTCCCTCCTTCCCTCCCTCCCTCCCTCCCTTCCTCTGCCCCCCCCCGCCCCCACTCCCGGTACTGCCTGCCCCTTTGGTACTTACTGCCCCAGTCACGTTCTTTATTCTTACTCAAAGGAGCTGAAAACTTAGATCCATATAAAAAACCCACTCAAACTTGGGAGCAAGTGAGATGTCCTTAAATGGGTGATTGGATTACTAGATGAAGCTACATTCAGACAATGACACATTATTATTTTAATTTTATTTTGTTTTGGGGGGGCCACATCTGATGGGTCTCAGGGCCTACTCCTGAGAGTGCCCTGAGGGACCCCATGTGGGGCTGGGGACTGAAGCCTGGTGGGCCACATGTAAGGCAAGTACCCTGCTCGCTGTACTATTTCTCCAGCCATCAAACAATTATTTAAATGCTAAAAATAAATGAGCTATCAAGTCATAAAAAGAAAACTAAGAACCCCAAATGCATACTACTAAATGAAATAAACCAATCTAAAAGAAGCCTTTTATGATTTTAACAGTATCACATTCTGAGTAAAGGAAAAACTATGGAGATAAATATAACCAAGCAAAAAGTTGTGGTTTCCAGGGATTAGGCAGAGCACAGATTTTCAAATTACTCTCTATGGTACTACAGTGATATTAAGATACACATCACCATATGTTTGTCCAGGTTCACAGAATGTACAAATCAAGAGTGAACCTCAAAGCCATTGGGTGATATTGATGTGTATCAAGTATAAGTTCCTTGATTTTAACACTTTTGTTTGTCTGTTTTGAGGCTATTCCTGGCTCTGCACCCAGAGGTCACTATGGCAGTCTCCAGGGACCCTATAGTGCTGGGAATAGAACTCAGGTCAGCTATGTGCAAGCAAGTGCCTTAACCACTATATTATCCCTCTGGCCCAATTGTTAACAATTATACCAGTATAAGTAAGTAAGTAAGGCCCTCCCGTTGATCATCGATTTGCTCGAGCGGGCCCAGTAACGTCTCCATTGGAGACTTTGTTGTTACTGTGTTTGGCATATCGAATACGTCACAGGGAACTTGCCAGGCTCTGGCGTGCGGGCGAGATACTCTCAGTAGCTTGCCCGGCTCTCTGAGAGGGGCGGAGGAATCGAACTCGGGTCGGCCATGTTGGCTGCGTGCAAGGCAAACGCCCTACCGCTGTGCTATCGCTCCAGCCCAGTAATTATACCAGTATAGTAGAAACAAATCAAAAACCATTTGCTGGAATTTCCCACATGCGTGGTACTGCATGTGGTGGTACTAGCCAGATAGCTTGCTGTGTAGGCTCCTGAAAGAGGGTTCAATATACTAGCATGACAGTAAGTACAGCTTATTAGTAGCACAGGTAAGTGATTCTTCCTCATTCACCAGCTTCTAGTGGGCTGCCCTCATTTAAATGAAAAAATAAAGATCTGGATTTGTATATAATTTACCACCCAAAGAGCAGTTTCGAGTCCTGTGGTCCCTAAAGAGCATTTTCCAGAGCACTGCTGGGAGTGAATTGCATGTTTTTGAATCACTGATCTTGGATAGTGCTTGGATAAGGAGTCACATGGTCAGGCTTTTGTTCTCATTTATAAGACTGATCTAGTGATGGTTTGATCTGGAAGCTGTCAATGTCACTCTTTAAAAGAGTGATTACAATGGTTGTTCCTGAACTACAGCACGGCACTAATGTAAGAATTGATCTAATGACAGTGTTATGATTTATCGCTCAGAGAAAATCCACTAACAACATATGGTCTCCTGCTAAGACACCCAGAATGAATGCAAAATGCTGTCTACCCAAGCCTCAGAAGCTACCTGGCGATGCAGCCTTCCACCTCCTTCTCCTGGTTCATCTTGTGATACACCACAGCAGCCACGGCCAGGGGCCCTGCGTCCCCGCAGAGGAAAGTGATGGAATGTTTGGTCAAACAGTTCAGACTTTGCTTCACATAGCCGTGTGCCATCTGGAGGTAGGCAGGGTCCCCGAACAGATCATAGAGATGTAGGTAAAGCAGCGAAATACCTGGAAACCGAGAGAAGATAATGGAAAAATGAGGCAAGGGTAGTGAACTGTAAGTTAACAGCTGCCCACTCAGCAGTTTTGATTTCTGATAAGCCGCAGCAAACATGAAAATTGCCAGGGAGTTTAAAGATCTTAGTTCAAGTCTCAGTTTTATCGCTTAGCTTTATTACTAAACAGTTCTAAGAACCAGATAGAATCAAGAACCTGTTTGCAGTTTGTTCATCATTACACCTTTAAATAATAAGAACTCGAAGACCTTCCATAAAATCCAAGCTTATTATTAATCCTCATAGTCTGGTTCTGTATTTTTCTTCATGGTTAAATCTTAGGCCATCAGCGATGTTCTAAATAAATAACTATTAAACAAATGATAATCTATTTTGCAATAAAGATGTTTGTTTTCATGAGCTAAAAAGTAAAGTCAAAGGTTATAGAATAAAAAATTCAATTTCTATTTATACAGAAGATAAATTATGGTTATATAGGAAACTAAATCCCTTAACCTTACCAATACACAAGGCAAGATTATAAAATGAAACAAAACTATGAAGTTAGTTGATAGCTAAGAAATATATTTACTTCCTCATTCTTTTTGCTCTGCCAAGGACCCAGCGCTTTTAGGAATAGCAATGTAAAAGCTGAAAATAATTTTGACTTTACGCCTTTCTCATTTTACTTCTTACCCGACTCTTGAAGAATGCTCTATGTCACTGCTCTGTGTGTGCTTATTTCGAATGCCTGTCCCAGCAGAATATTCTTTCCTCTGAAGCCAACGGGTCTGAGGGCAGATTCGAAGATGTGGAGTTGGGAGCCTGCAGCATTTCCAGAAACTCATTTCTTCCCTTAAAGTACATTTTCCATCTCATTTACCATTTTTAGACGATACAGAGTGTCTGTTTAAATCTAAATTAATAGAGCCAATCTCTTCATGGATTTCAATGCAGTAAAAACGTAGCCTGCAAAATTACTTTTCACTGTACTGAGGACAATTTTAAATTTAGATAGTTTTCTCATTTTGCATGGGTAATCTCCAAAGCTTTGTGCTACAGACAATTCAATTTCACATGTATATTAAGGCCAAATTTTCATTTCCTGCCGAAGTTAATAACCTTGTCTGCTTTTTCAAAGTGGCTTGGTGTTAGTAATTCCACAAGCGGATGATCAGATGTACCAATGCTTAAGGTCTGTGTGTACAAAACCCACATATGTAGGTGAGAATAAAAATCTTCCTTTCACAAATGATCAATGTCAAGAGCTTCTTCTAGAATTAGATCCTTAATAGGGTTCATCTCTGTCTATATATACAAGGAACTTGCAGACTTTCATTCTGCCCTCCCTTTCATTCTGCCCTCCTATTCTCATGGCAGCCTGAACTCACGCTCCTAATTAACTTATGTAAGGATCAGAGTCACGTAATGACATGACAGATCTGAGAAAGTAAATGTGATTTAATACAAGTACAGTGATTGTTTTCCTTTTCAGACCTATGTCTCTCATTAGCAACAATTCCTTTTGGCCTAAATATTTATTTTTTCAAGAGGTCATTAAAGGCTTGCAATGGCAAGATCTGATGCAATTCTCATGAAAAGAACGACAGAGAAGCCTGACAATATTTTATTTTATTTACATGAAAAGTTTTGTTTGACTTCTTTGATAAGCAAGGAGTTGGAGGTCCAATTTTCTTAAGTGTCCACAGTCTCAGGTTCCATTTACTTTCTCCATATTCAAGGTCTCACCTATCTGCATATTTCAGTTGAGTAATCTTCATTTACGGGGCCAGAGTGATGGCATAGTGGATAGGGTATTTGTCTTGCACACAGCTGACCTGGGGTTCGATTCCTCCACCCCTCTCAGAGAGCCCAGCAAACTACTGAGAGTATTTTGCCTACACGGCAAAGCCTGGCAAGCCACCCATGACATATGTGATATGCCAAAAACCATAACAAGTCTCACAATGGTGATGTTACTGATGCCCGCTTGAGCAAATCGATGAACAACGGGAGGGCAGTGCTACAGTGCTACAATGAAATCTTTGTTTATGGTGTCCATTTTCCCATAAAATGCTTAATATGTAAAGAAGCACTGTTGTTAATAAAAAAATAATTCCTGGATGGACTTATCATAAATCAGTTTAGATCAGGAAAATAAGACAAAATGACAAAATGTCTAAATCAAAACCTCTATTACCACCTCAATACTTTATATTTCAGGTATCCTAAATGAGAAAAACAGAGGACACGGCCTATTGCCAAATGTCTTACACTAGTTCCAATGATCTTTCACCCTTTGATGGTAGTCATGCAGAAAATATCACCTTTGCAAAAATTACCAGACTCAGAGGAGGGAAAGATGGGGAATAAGATACAAGTTTAAGAGCTGTACAGGGAAAACTTACCTACAACTTTTATTGTAGCACTATTAGTGTACATGATCTAATGAACTATTTCAAATGTATGTTATCAATATAAACACATTCATGAAAAAAGTCAAACTGTATTGCAAAGCATAATATATAAAATATCAATCTTCTATTCCTTTCTATTCCTGTTACTGCAAATAATTTAAAGTGTTCTCTAGTATTTGTGTCACCTCACTTAATGTATGTCGCCTTCTGATTTCTCTATACTAGATCACTGTCACTGTCACTGTCTTCCTGCTGTTCACCGATTTGCTCGAGCAGGCCAGTAACATTGTGAGACTTGTTACTGTGTTTGGCGTATCGAATACGTCACGGGGAGCTTGCCAGGCTTTGCTGTGTGGGCGAGATACTCTCGATAGCTTGACGGGCTCTCTTGACTTAACTTACATTCTACTTCACAAGATAAGCCTTTTGCTTAGTGTCCCAAGTGTCTCTTTCTTCACTCAACAATAATCTTCTGGATTTTTGCATGGCACATGGACACCCAGCAAATTCTTCTTTACAGCTTGAAATGATGATGCCATTAAGTTCTGAACAATGGGAAGCCATGGGAGTAATGGGGACAACTTTGAAAAATATTCTCCAAAGGGAGGTGCTACCATTTCTTTCCCTTTCCACTTGCTTCCCAGCTGGACTGCAGATGCAAAGAAATAGGCAAAGGCTTCAATAGCAGTTGTGTAATGAGGATGGTGCATTAGAAAGAAAAGAACATCAGATCCCAGAAGACTTGATATTACTCCAATCCCTGGGTTTCCTTCAGAAAACATACAGAAATTCTAGGGCTGTTCTGTTAGGGGTATCCCCTCATGCCAGTGAGCTCAATCCTCAAGAGTCTGGTTCTTTTCAAAGTTAGAAAGGCCGGAAGTTGCTAGGTAACAGAGAACTTTGTAAATGAGTTCAAGATTTTTGAGTTTTATTTGAAAAGCATCAGTTTTAAACATGGGAAGGGGATGGCTAGATTGCATTTTTATTATTTATTTTGAAGTAGAAGTTTTACTTAGAGATTATAAGGAAAAGTAGAGGAAGAATAACATGTTCAAGAGAGAAGGCAGTCTTCTCTGAAGGGGTTGAGCCCAGATTGCATTTTTTTAAAAGTTTACCATACTTGCGCTGTTCTGTGGAACGGTGGATGCAGGAAGAGAAGACAGGAGGATATTTTTGGAATCCAAAGAGTGACAAGGTGGTTACTGTAGGGATGCAGCAAGACTGAATTGGAAGGATATCTGTCTGGGAGGTAAAATTGGTAGAGCAAGGCAACTTCAGGAGGCTGGTGAGATAGTACAGTGGGAAGGAAGCTTGCCTTGTGCACAGTGATCCAGATCACTGCCGACTCAATACTCAGCACCAAATATGGTCTCCCGGCCCCTGCTGGAGTCATCTCTAAGAGAAGCGCCAGGAGTATGCCCTGAGCACTGCTGGGTGTGGCCCCCAAACCAAAAAAATCAAACCAATATAACTCCATATACCTAGCTTCAATAGTTGATGAGCAATAACACCATCTACAATAAAAACATCAACACTTCTGGGGAGGGTCAAGTTTGGGAAATAAGACTATAACTGCATCCACTCATAAAAGCATCTTCAAATATAATTCCAGTATCTAAAGAATTTGATATTCTAAGAAAGAATGCTTTTCCTGGTTTCTAGGAAGGATAAAAACCATCAGGATTGGTCATGAGGTTCAACAAAGATTACATACATACGTTTGAAGGCTACACTGATACTTTCTTTGTCATTACAGAATATGCTACTTCATCAAGACTACTCCTGGCCTTAAATTTGAGTAGCAGATAAAATTTTCTTCAATAATGTTTGCTAAGCAACCCCCCACCCAAAACAAAAATCACAAAACTAATGGAGGTGTGCTTCTTCCTTTTACTCTTTTACCTTTTTTTACCCCAGAAAAAACTTAATAAAATAAAGTGACTGGGTTTAATTGCAAAGACTACAAATTGCTTTAGAATCATTATATTATTTTAAATGAAATCCCTCTCTCTCCTTTTAAGACGCTGGAGGAATTCTGACATTTTCTGTCACTGTAGCACTGTCCTCTCATTGTCAATTGATTTGCTCGAGCGGGCACCAGTAACATCTCCATTGTGAGATTTGTTTTTACTGTTTTTGGCATATCGAATACGCCACCATAGGGAGCTCGCCAGGCTCTGCCATGTGGGTAGGATACTCTCAGTAGCTTGCTTGGCTCTCCAAGAGGTACTGAGGAATCAAACTCGGGTCAGCAGCGTACAAACACCCTACCCGCTGTGCTATCGCTCAGAGCGATAGCTGACATTTTCATTGATATAAAATTAATTGGTCTACTCTATGATAACAATTATTAAGAAATAAAAACAAAAGCCTTTAGTCTGAAAATGAACAGTTTTGTTAGATGTATACATAAAAATAAATGGAACACAGTGACCTATCTTAAAGCAGAGAATATTTCATAGAAATGGAGACACACTTAGAAATGAGTACAGGACACAATGTACACAAAGTTTTCCCATTATTCTCAGATATAAAAAGTGATAAAAATGGCATTTGTGTCAATATCCTAATTCTGTTAATTAATGAGAACTTTATT